ACATATATATACAGTAAAACCTGTTTTTTTGTAAAACGTCTAGATAGCTCACTATCAGGTAGAGTATCAGACTTTTAATCTGAGAGTCCAGGGTTGAAATCCTTGTTTTTGGGCGAAATATATTTCTAATTAATTTTCAAAACTATTACATATATATATACAGTAAAACCTATTTTTCTGTAAAACGTCTAGATAACTCAGTATCAAGTAGAGCATCAGACTTTTAATCTGAGAGTCCAGGGTTAAAGTCCCCGTTTTTGGTCGAAATATATTTTTTACCATATATTAAAACATGAACTTATTAAACAAAAAAAAGAAATAGAACTTTTTCTCTAAAAAATTATATACAGTAAAATCTGTTTTTATGCAGAGGATAAGGACGTATTTACAATTAGAAAATACAATCAATTATTTACGAAATAAATCAAAAAATGCTTTCAAACAAATTAAATAAGTACATTAGAACTGGAAATATTTTCAAAACATTTCATTTTTCATTGTATACATGGTGACATTTTCAAAAATGTATATTAAATAATTCAATGCTACTCGTAATCCAAAACGCTTATCTTCTTGTGACGAATTGGTTCAATATCGCTTTCGTCGCTTGAAGATAAGATTTCAATTATTTTTGATACCATAAAGTCAATGATCAGTTTTTGTGACGTCAGTCGATTGGTCATTTGTTTGTACACGTGTCACAATAGCAAGAGACACGCATGATCTCAGCTCTTTTTGGAATTTCAAGCTTCTTTCGGAATTAGTATCATTTTAAGAACATGCGTTTCCAATTTTATAGAAATCTTAATCCCTTGTATATATTTTATCGACTGTAATAGATTCCGGTTCTTCTTGTCCTTCTTCATAATCTATCAAATTATTGATAATGTCACTATCATTGACAGTTTCGTTCTCAATCATTTCGTCCAGTTCATTTTCACCGAAATTATCAAAGCCCTTTTTCCGCTGATGTTATATGCGAGCGCAGTAATTTCAGATAATAACGTGGACACGTTTTTGGTTACATTTTGATTAATTACACATTCAGGTCAGATCGCTTTTACCAGCACGAATTTAATGTGTGTTGTTTTATTTGACCAATTTTCTGTAGTAATATCATTTATACAGTCTAACATTTTGAAAATTCTTTTCAAACTGATCAGTCAGGTCTAATTCCATCGTTCTCTACTGTTTTTTTTTTCAGAATGTAGTTAAAAGTTAATTTGACATAATGTTTCTTAAATTTTGCGATTATGCCCTGATCCAATGGTTGTATAAGACTCCATCATTGTCAAAGAGTCCACTTAGTCAGGGTTTCTGTCCACACATGTATGTATACACTGATAGATAACATTAAACTGGTGTCTCAACATCGCTGAGATTTATATACAGCATAACAAAAAAATCGCATATAAAAGGACTACACAAAAGACAGGTTTTACTGTATATATATATATATGAATCTTCATTTAATAATAATAAATACATTTTAATATTCCTTAAACAAATATAATAATAGTAAATAATTAAATTTATAATATTATTTTACAATTGGAGATTCTTGATTAACAAATGTGTTAATTAATAAATATACATTGGAAATTGAGTAATGTATTTTGAAAATTACAGACACAAAAAATGTACAATACATATATATATATATATATATATTATTATGTACATCATCATTATCTTTAATCTTTTTTTTTGGGGGGGGGGGTTTTGATTTTATTTACAAAGATACAACAAAGTTATATCGGAAAATTAAAGGAATTTTGATACGACCAGACTATTCTTAAATAAAAAATCATATCACTTTTTTAAATTTACAAATATTTTCTTAAACAAAATGATATATAATATAACAATAACAATAATAATAATAATAATAATAATAATAATAATAATAATAATAATAATAATAATATGATCACAATAATACGATCACGTTTATTATTAAATTTAATTTACGTGTAAATTAAATTGAATATGATTTTAGTAGTTGCGTTTAATGATTTTTTTTTACAATCAAAGATTTTTCAATGTGTTTTCTCTCAAAAAAAAAAAAAAGTCAAAAGAAAATCAAAAGAAGAAAATACACACGATTGAAAATAATTTTGACAGTTTTTGTATTTTCTTTTATTAACACTAGATATACCGCCATTTAATTTCTACCACACTAGTCAAAATGACTGATGTATAAAACAAAACAAAACAAAACAAAAAATGCTTTTTGAGCCTTCCAGTCTTTATTTATTCATAAAAAAATACCAAAAAAAATGTTTAACAATAATAATTTTAATAGACAAATGGATTTATGAACATTTTTAAATAACAAAACGTTTAATTATTTACAAAAATCAAATGTTATACGTGAAGTTTTGAAATTTGAAATTAAAAAATGGCTCCGACCAGTGCAAAATGGCTGAGTGTCTGGTATATCTAACGTTAAAATAAATTATACACGCGAATAATAGAGTTTAATAATAAATATATAAAGATACAAATAATAATATTCATTTGTAATAAATGTAAGAATGTGTTGTGTTTATAGAAAAAAAAAGAAAAAAAAGAAAAAAAAACTAGAAATTTGAACGAATGACAATGACCAAAAAAAAAAAAAAAAGAAAGAAAATGGTAAAAATTAATTAACAATTGAAATATATGTGTGACATTAATTTAAGTATCTTTTGAACGTAGTGTTAGGTATCTGAGTTTTGACGATAAATATCCTACATAGAACAACATATATGTTTACATTGTTGCATTGCAAATGCATTTAAACACAATTTACAAAAAAGTAAGTAAATATGTATGCTAACAAGTATACTAATATATAAGTATACAGTTTAAATGAATATATAAATTGTAATAATTTTTTGTTTTGTTTTTAGCAAACCGATTACTAATAAGGCAAATGGAAAAATATGAACAAATTGCCGATATTTTTGTATGTTCGTTTTCTTCCCTCCGGACGTTAAAAGCGTCCAATTTTTCTTCCGCTGTGCAAAACGAAGTTTGCCGCTTTCCGTCTACGTCGAGCAGAAATACAGTATACACACCATGGGCAGTAAATAAGAAAGCCTCAGAGAGCACATGTTTGTTGATCTCGGCTTTGCCACGGACTTACTTACTGCTCTGAGACATTTCTTACTTTATCGCTTTAGATATGAAATATACTATTTTTTAAATAGTACTCAATAAAACAATACTGAAACATTCCTTGGTGATGTTACTACAACGTTAATAGTCCTATCTTCTATTAAGTTTGCACCAAAGTGCGCTAGCCGTTAGCAAGTGCATAAGTACACCTATGCCAATGATCAATATTAAATTATTAATAACATTAGTATCATTTATTTCCAATTCGTTTAAAAATTTCGTTGGTTTTTTATAATGACAATAAAAGTCATCGCAAACCAAATCCATTCGGTCATATCCGTAAACTGTATAAATGAGACTATGGAAACTGGCACGAAAATAGGATATGTGAAATATCCAACGAAATGCACGAGGAGTGTCCATGTATGTTGCGCAAAATCCAAAAACGGAAAATAGTACGGCGATAATGGGTCCTAGGAAGACTGCGATCTAAAAATATAAACAATAAATTCAAATTAACAAAATTATAATAGAATAAAAAACAAAACACACATCTGTGTCACTTATTTATATTAAAAGTGATTTATTTACTTTAACTGGGGTAGTTGCACCGATGAAAAATCCCCATGCTTGTGCGGTTAACGTTGCAGATATGCTGACAACCATAAAAAATAGGATACGATAAGTTTCTATGGGTTGTCCTGTTAACCAATAACTGATAGTCAGATAAGTTCCAGCACAGGCTGCTTGGAATGGTATTTCAATGAGTAGCATACTGATGTAATATGGTGCCAGTTTATACCACCGATTGAAATGTTCTCTACTAAGAATTTGCATTTCCAGGGGAACTGTATAATAAAGAAAATTAGAAGAAATATATTTACATTTATATTTATATAATTACATATATACATATATGTACATATAATGTACATTGTATACAGTATTGTATACAGTAATATATGTATTACTTACTGTGTATACAATGTTATTATTATAGTAAATACTGTATACAATACTGTATTGATTTACAATACATGTATGTTTGTATTATATATAATTAATTATACAGTTTTAAATTTTGTATAAAACTGTAAATACTTACAGGCAAGAGTAACCGCCATTTTTCCCGTGTAAACGATCAAAAGTAAGGAACCATATAAATAAACGTAATTAGCTAGAACACCATTAGCACGATAACCACTTCCCATATAAAGATATCCAAATATAACGCCAATGAGCAAATGACAAAGTAATCGTACCATCAAAAGCGTGTAATCTCTTTTCAAGCTTATTAATTGTCTTTTGTAAAGAAGATAACATTGTGTTAAAAAACTGGTCGTAGGTTGTTGTTCCGTAATGATATCATCTGTCAAACATATTAGATTAGATTAGGATTTTGAAAAATGTTTAAAAAAATGATTAGAATGTGAAAGAACATTTTATTTAATACAACAGGAGTAAAATGAATTTACAAAAGTGAATATAAGATATTGATTTATTTACCTTCTGAACTATCTTTGATTACTTTTGGTACAACTCGTGTAGTTGTTCCCTTGTCCCATAAATTTTCATCTGCTGCTGCTGTTAATTTATCAACCGTTATACCATAATCACCAATAGCAACTTCGATTACTGTAAATAATAATAAAATTCACGAATGTTTCATTATTTTAGAGAGAGAGATTGAGAGAGAGAAAAAAAAGAAGGTAATATTGTTGAGTGTATTTGAATACTTACAAAAATCTGCTGGATTGTGATAAGGTGGACAATTGATACCGATCGATGTTAAATGTGGTAATAGACCATGAATCGAACCCTTGTATATGCAATAACCATTTGCAAGTGCATAAAGGGAATCAAACATTTCAAATAGTAATGCACTTGGTTGATGTATCGTACAAACTATCGTACGTTTTTCCATTCTTGCCAATCTTTTTAACAATGCTATACATTGACTACAGGACATTGAATCTAAACCTGAACAAAAAAACCAAAACATGTAATTTTAACGAATTATAAACATTATGTATTCAATGTGGATTGACAAATGTTATTAATAATAATAATATGAAAGAGTAAAAGTAATGATAATAATAAATTACCAACCGGTGGTTGGTTCATCAAGAAAGATTACTGAAGGATTGCTGAGTAATTCTAATGCAACGTCCAATCGTTTCTTTTGACCACCAGATAACCTTCCACATAAAGTGTCGTAGCAATAACTCAGACCTAATATTTCCAAAAGATTCAATACCTATGACATTAAAAATATTTTATTATTATTATCATCATCATCATCATCATTATCATCTACATCAGTATGTGCCATTTGAGTAATAAACCTCTTCGATTTCGCTAAGACATTAAATGAATGTGAATTTTTATTGAAATGGGGACTTCCCCAATTGATCATTAAACGATAATTGACTACTTCTGTGTTGTAAAGTTGATTGAAAAAAATGCAACTTTTTTAAAAACATACCATCATTATCAACTGATGGATGGATATGGTATGATGATGATTTATTTGAAATAGTAAAGAAAAAAAAAAGGATAATAATAATAATCTTCTTTCTCTTCTTTTTTTTTTTTGCTTTTTTTGTTGTTGTTGTTATTGTAAAACAGTCGAGTCATTGAGTACCCATTAAAGATAATGAGGAATAAGGAGGGGAGGGGGAACACGATGGGAATAAGAGAAAAAGAAGAAGAAGTAGAAAAAACCATAATGGTACCTGAGTATGTTTATATGCCGAACTTATATTATTGCCTAACTTCAAGTGTGCTGTTATGGTCATAGCTTCGCCAACTGTTATTCTTCCTCGTACCAAAGAATCTTGTTGTATGTAACACGACGTTCTTTTCCATTTTTCACTGTGTGCTACTCGAACTTTCCCATTTACCAGAACCTCACCGCTCATACCTTTCAAACTGTAAAAATGTTCATAAGATTTAATATAAAAGAATATTAATGAACTTTAGTCAAAGAAATTCGAATACTTTTTTTTTGGTTGGGTGGGGAGGTGATCAATTATACTTGTAACATCATCATCATCATGATCATCCTTATCTTTTGTGTGTTGGATGTGTTTAGTTAGTGACATTGTTTAAATAATGAATAAAATTAAATTGAGATTTGTATTTGTTACTTCATCAATTGGAATTTGAACGGGGATTGATCTACGTATGAAATTATACTATTGTATACAATAAGTGCTTACTCGATTTTTTTTTTCTTTTTCTTTGTCTTTTCTTTTTATTTACTTATGTACAAGAGCCATGGTTTTTTTGTTTTTTAAGATTTTTGTTTTTTTTTTTCTGTCATTTTATTCATTCGATAGAAGATTATTACGTATAGGTTTATAAAAGATTACGTATGAAACTTACGTATAACCAGCAAGCACGTTTAGTAGCGTTGATTTTCCTGCGCCTGATGGGCCCATAATGGCGACCAATTGGCCAGCTTTGAATTCGCCACTTACACCATGCAAAATTTCTTTTTTTTCTGTATGGTTAAAACAAAAAAGAGAGATGTTTATATTAATAGAATAAATTACGAAAAAGATGCGGTATTGTTTATTTATTTATTTATTTATTAATACGTTGAGTGCCGCAAGCTTTGTTTTATTCAATTTCAATCGATATACTGACAGTTGAAGACATTTGTTTATCTTATGAAATGATATTGAATGTTTTTATAATAAATACTTTTAACGCGTTATTTATAAAATTAATTATTATGCTTTATTTTTCTTTTTTTTTTTTTAAATAATATTTATTTATGTTTTTGTAATTATTTAAAATTTATGAATATAAAATGCAAATTACTTTTTTTTAATATGTACAATTATTGTAATTTATATGAAAAGTAAAATGACGGTCACCGGTTAACGACGTAGCATTTAACCTATAAACCAATTACCAATTTGTCAAATTTAACCCTGAACTTAGCTGCAAAAGAAATTCAAATAACGCGGGAAAATAATTCGTTGTGTAGAAAAATGTCCTTTTTATTACTCATACTTGAATTATTTGGATAAAATGTAAGTCATTTTTTAAAAAATAATTTTAGTTTATCGATCAATGTTCAATTATTGTAATTTACATGAAAAGTAAAATGTCGGTCACCGCTTAACGACGTAACATTTAACCTATAAACCAATTACCAATTAACTGAAATTAACTCTGAATTTAGCTGCGAACGAAAAATTCAAATAACGCGGGAAAATAATTCGTTATTTAGAAAAATGTCCTTTTTTCCTTGTCATATTCAAATTAATTCGTCTTAATAAATTCTTTTCTCTGACTCAAAAAGTCCAAGAAGTCTACGAGAAGAGAATAATGAATTTTCATCATTCAATTATGTTTATCGTTATTCGTATCACGAAAAAGTTCAACATGAGACCCGTCCGTGACATCATTACCATGGATTTTTTAAAATCGGCTTAAACGTATCGCTCTTAATACGTTATTATTATTATTATTATTACTAAATTATATTTTGTCTTTGTGCGTTTAACCCAAACAAAATATACTGATAGACAATTTAAAATATCTTTTCAATTGTTTAGTCTCGTACGTAATCCCATCATCCATCCATTATTCTCGACCATTTGTATTATTAGAATTTTATCACAAAATTTTTATCGACTTTCTCGATATGAATAAATATTTATTTCAAAGTCTACTGTATAAATCGATTTTATATGGGCCGCCTATTTTGAAAGTGGCTCAACTCCGTTTTCCAAAAAAAATCGACTTAGTTACCGTAATAGTTTTCATTTTTACATGATCTTTTCATTATCAAGCAATTTGTTACAAATATATTTAACCCTTAAAGTGGACACTTGATAAAAGTTAGTTAACACGTTCACGCTGGCGCGTACCACCGGTGGCCCGCATTAGACTGTCTCATCGGGCGGCTTGAACCACTGGTGGCTCGCGCTTGATTGTCCCATCGGGCGGCTTGTACCACTTGATTTTCAGTGTCTGCACTGTAAGGCGGCACTCGAATCTAAGATGCGCTTCATCTGGCGGCGCGTGATTTTTGCTTGTTCAAACTTGGAACAAGGTGGACCACCGGTGGTACGCGCCGCCCGATGGGACAGTCTAATGCGGGCCACCGGTGGTACAAGCCGCCCGATGAGACAGCCTAGTGCGGGCCACCGGTGATACAAGCCGCCCGATGAGACAGTCTAGTGCGGGCCACCGGTGGTACAAGCCGCCCGATGAGACAGCCTAGTGCGGGCCACCGGTGGTACGCGCCGACGTGAACGTGTTAATAATTGCCACTATTTTAATAGAAAATATAAATTTACAACATTTACATACACTTAAGCAGTATAACTCGTTATACTGTTCATTGTATTGAAACGCAAACCCTTGAATATCTCGATTCGAGTATAAATAGAGAGATAGGCCACTTTCAAAATAGGCGACTCATATAATATTTATTCAAAATTAACATTGATTATAATAATAATAATAATAATAAAAATAAAAGGACAAGAAGATGTGAAGAAGAGAAAAGACAGGAATGTGTATCTTTTTGTTTATTTTATTTTATTTTATTTTTTTTTTTGTAATCTTTTCGATTTCTATTTTGATCAGTGACGTATAGAAAGCAACCTGTTCGATATAAAAAAGTAAAATACAAAATTAATTACATGAGATACAAAATGAAAGATTCGTGTGTATTAGGATGGTAGATTTTAGATGTCACTTTTAGAGAAAGTAGGCTATGAAAGTTTGCAAATAAAAGAGAGAGAGAGAGAGAGAGAGAGAGAGAGAGAGAGAGAGAAAGAGCGAGAGAGAAAAAGAGAAAGAAAGAAAGAAAGAAAGAAAGAAAGAAAGGGAGTGAAAGTTTGAACATTCGACGGAGAACATTCGGAAGATTTTAAAAGGTATGAAAGATGAAGATGAAAATGATGTACCAAAATGTAATTGTTTTAGAAATATTGTTTGAAATATTTTTGGAAATATTTTGTTCACTACGGAATTTCGAGTTTCTTGAAATATTCGTGGATTTGATTTCTCTTGTTTTTTTTTTTTAATTAAAATAAATCACAGAACATTATAATTATCAATGACACGTGAATCATTTGATAAAAAGGATATGTAAAAAATTTCCTTAATTTTTTTTTATTTGAATAATGACAATTTTAATTAAACCATGTTATTAATTATAATTATAAAAATTTTAGAGATTGTAATATTAAAACGTGTAGACTGGCCCGTTTTAGGAAATCACAATGAAAAAAACGTATGTAAATTTACGGGGCCTGTCTGTTATATGTCCAGAATGATTCGCCGAATGTTCATCAATGTGTCATTCAGTTATTTTTCCTTCTTCGTTTTTTTTCATTTCTCGTGTTTTTTTTTTTTTTTTTTAATTAAAATAAATCACAGAACATAATTATCAATGACACGTGAATCTTTTGTTAAAATGTTATGTTAAGAATTTGATTAATTTTTATTTGAATACAGACAGTTTTAATTAAACTATGTTATAAATTATATTTAGACAAATTTTATATTGTAATATTAAAATGTTTATGTTCATTTTGTTATTGTTTAAATATTTAATAATTTATAATTATTTAATTTATTATTCTATCTATATATTATATAAATATAGAATATAAATATTAATTATTAAAATATATATTATTATATTGTAATATATTAAATTTAAATTATTATTTATTTAATTATAATTATTAAAATGTATATTTAATTTTCATATATATATATGTATATCTTAAAATATATAAAAATTACGTGTCACGTTGTTTGTCCGCAATGGACTCCTAAACTACTGAGCCGATTTTAATCAAATTTTGCACACTCTGTGCAGTTTTATCCAACTTGACAGATAGGATAGTTTATCTTATTTTAATATACATAAATTACGTGTCACGTTGTTTGTTTGCAATGGACTCCCAAACTACTGAACCGATTTTAATCAAATTTTGCACACTCTGTGCAGTTTCGTCCAAATTGAAAGATAAGATAGTTTATATTTCAATTTATAATCGCGAATTATTTGTTTATTAACAAAGAGTCATGATTATCTCTGTTACTTTGATAAGATTCTAACAAATGGCGGTATAAGGTAATTCGTTGACTTAAAGATGTGTGTATCGGATTGATTGTGAGCCACAGCAACGCGTGGCTGGGCACCCCTAGTTTAATGTATAAAATATTATTATTATTATTATTTGAAACATGCTATTTAATAATAATAAATTTGATTATCATTAATTTCTTACAATTAACTTCACGAAATATTAAAAACTTATGCGAAAACTAACATAAATATTCGTAGTCTTAAGTCACAGACGAATCATTACATAATTCATTCATCTGATTGATCATGAAAATGATCAATGATTTCAAGCACGAAAAATGAAATATTTATAAAAAGAAAAAACAAAAGTAATTACGCATTTTCTTAGAATGTAATAATAAAAGGAAAATGATTCATTAGGGTGTGAAAGGAGTGGGGTGAGGAAGGGGTGAGGATGAAGGAAAAAAACCCAATGCCATTAATAAAGGAAATTAATCAAATAAACTCATTCGATTTGTATTCCGTACGAAATAAAAATTATTCTGTAATACTGTTAAATCATGTATTATTCAACTATTATGCCATAATAATAATAATAATAATAATAATAATAAATAATTAATAACTGTCGTTGATAGTATAAATATGGGATTGAAAATTATATACCGAGTATTTTATTTGAATCGTAAATTCAGTGAAATATTTTGTTGGATAATAAATTATTGGATGATAAAGAAAATTATATATATATATATATATATATATATATATATATGTCAGACGACATTAGGTTAGTTAGAAATGACA